GCTACGGCTGCTCAAACTTAATCTAGACAGGAATAGATTGGCTAGGCGGCTGTGCTCATAAGCTCCAACTTTGTGTAAAATTAGCTCTCCACAACCAACAATTTCATGGTACAATATTTACGCAAAGATCAAAAAAGGTGAATTTTTATACTCACCATTGGTCATCAGACTTCTCAAATAAAACCTCCAATGAGTCACTTATAATTTATTGGAATGGATTAAAAAATATTCTTTGTTATATTATATTAGTTGAGTACACATAGAAAAAAAAACTGTATGAAAGTGCCACCAACTTATCTAACTGAAACGCAAGTGCAATTATTAAAAATTGTCACTCCTATTTTAAATGTATCTGAAGACCTTTCTATTCTATGTGCGTGAGCATTACTTTAGTTTTTAGATTTCAATTAAGTGAAGACGTTTTTATAATCGCTATCTTCTTAGACCCTTGATTTAAATCAGCAATGTTTACCTTGGCAAATTGTTGAATCATATTTTATGGTAATTGAAGAAAAACACGATTTAAGTATTTCTATAATTCCCAATAAAATTAAACTCCAGGGAACAAATTTCTTATCTAAAACAAATGGAATTTTAGATAAATTGTTTTTAAATAAAACACTTTAAAATTTTTCCAGAAGTTTTAGATTGTTTTAAGAATATACTTGCTACTTTAATTATTACAATTTTTAATCAAGTATTAGAAAGTTTATCGATTTATCAAATTTATACATAAAAAAATTATTTGAGCTTCTGTTATGCAGCGATTGCAGTGCTTGCTTTAGACCTAAGAGAAGGTTTGTTGTCTACTCTCGTCATATATGCAACACCGGTGAGGAAGGTGGTGTAAAATAAATAAACTGTATCATATTACGCGGTAGACTAGACTTTTAGGTCTTCTTAGGGCATCTTATTAATTAAAAAGTACATAAGTAATAGTGCGGAAAATATAAAAGATACTTATTTAAGAGTGTGAAAAATATAAAATAACTTCACAACTTGAAGTGTACAAACATAACCCTGTTTTTATCTGTGCAGTAAATGAGGTTTAAAAACTAGTAACTTATTATCTTTGACTGTTGCTTATTTTCCTATTTTTTTTATTTTGTTTCTCATTATTTTTCTACCTCAAAGTCTAGATTCCGCGCTAAAAAAGAAATGCAATAATATTTTTCAAACGTTTACTATTTGTAAAATTACTATTTCTTATTTTATCATCAAAAAATAAGATCATAAAAATATTATATGTAAGCACATTCGTTTGGATAGAATTTTGTAAACTGTCACTTATGGTGGAATAATAAAAAAAAAGTCACAGTTTAATGGATATAACACCACATTTTACACATTAAATCTATTAATTCAATTTATTTAACTATTTTTTTTTTATTTATAAAAAATTAGCAATTTTCTCAGGCGTTATTAACCTCTCGCTTTCATCCCACAATGTTTTTACTATGGTTTTATCATACTCAGGAACTACTGCCTCAGCGCACTCTTCTAATAACTTTCCTGAAACTCCTTCTAAATTTTTTTCCAAACAACCATATAGTATTGTTTCTACAGCTTCGGATGGTGTCTTCCAGAATACGTAAGCATATAGTCCGGATAAAATGCGTAATATGCGCCAATTGTATGGGAAAATGTTCCTTCGCAACGACGTGGAAACTTTACCTGGATTTACGGCGTTTACAGTTACAACTTTTTCGTTTAAATGAGCAGCCAACTCCTGAGTAAATAATAATAAAGCAAGCTTGGTGTTATTGTATGCAATAATAGGTGAAAACTTGTTATTTGATTGCAAATCAGTCAAGACAAAATTGGCTTTTTTATAACTATCGCAAACAACATTTATAATTCTACCTTGGGCACTTAATCTAATTTTTTGTAACAATATCTTCGTTAACAAAAAATGAGACAAGTAGTTTATTTGCCAAGTTGTTTCATTTTTATCAATTGTCTCTTCTCTTTTAATCCCTGAAACTATTGCTGCGTTGTTGACAAGTATATCGATGCATGGAAAGTCTTCGCAAATATCTTTTGAAAACTCACGTACCGACGCTAATGAAGCAAGATCTAATTTCCTTGCTTCAATGTACTGTTGACCTGTATAATCTCTCAATTGTTTTGCAATTTTTAAACCCTTTTTTAAATTAGAACAGCCTATTATTATTTTTGCGCCCTTTAATGCTAAACGAAATGCCGTTTCGTAACCGATTCCATTTGTGGCTCCAGTAATTACTACAACTTTACCTTTGAGATTACCCTTAGATCTGCAAATAACACATGTGCGATTCAATTTGATAAATCCAATAAGAATACCGAGAACTAATAGCAGGCACATGCAATATAAGACAGTGTGTGTATCTTCTATTCCACGTGTTATAACTTCATACAAGAAGTCATCATTATTCGGTGCACAACGTTTACAACTCTTTCTGCACAATGTTTTAACTTCGGATTTGCCACAATCACCTTTTTCTAGCCATTCTTGGCAACGGCGATCTTGATCAAAACACCGTGGTTTTTTTGCTATTACAATTGTTACTTGTACAAATGTTGCTAAAAAGACAGTACATAAAAACTTTCTAAAAAAATCGCCCATTTAATAAAGATTTGTAAAATCTTTTCAAAGCTTTACCAGATAAAAATTTGTACGTCTTATTCTCGCTTTTAGTTTTTAAATTGTAAATTATTTATTTTTCTGAAGCTCGCTAATAAATAATTCTATAGTCATTCATTTTAAACTTTTTTTATTGGACACTTTTTTGTGTTTCATATTATTACGTAATTTCATTTGTGGTAAAACGATTCTATATGTGAACTCATTAATAGGTTGAGACTTTAAATTTGCAAACAGACTTCTATAGTCATTGCGCCAACTAAAATGCGTAATCAATTGTTTAAGAGTTTAAAACCTATTTTTATTACTTAAGAGTTTAAAATCTATTTATCAAGAGTTTAATACTTATTTTTATTTTTATTTTTTTTAATTTTTTTTTTCAATTAAAACACATTTAAATACAGAGGGAAATCAAGCTTTTTTTTTTTAACTATTCTTATTTAATTTAACATTCATCGATAAATTTTAAACTTCATAAAAAATCTTTTTGCATTCAAAAATCCTAAACGTGTAAAGTTTGAATCGCCATCAATTTGAGGGGGTTACAAACATTTTGTGTTTATAAATTTTGAACGCTATTAGGTTATTTTATAAATTTTAAAACTAATAGATGAATATTAATTTAATTGAGAATAATAAAAAAAATATTTTATTGACTTGTTGCTCTCACGTTTAGGACAGGGGCATTACAAATTTTAGGGCGTTTTTGTTCCCAGGTTCCAATTATCTTAACTTTTTGCAAAGCATCTTTATTTAACATAAGTATAAACATATAAATGGTTAGGGTTTGCTACATGTCTTGGAGCTAAAACACCAAAAAATGCTAGATTCACTCCTAAAATAAGCGCCATAATTTAACTGATTTAATAGATGACTTTCCGTGCAACATCACATCTTTTTGCAAACAACATGCGCGTGCATACTTGTAGGCAGAAAACATTAAAACTATAAGAATATATTCATGAGTTTATTATAACACACAAAAAAGTATTTTTATTAAAACACACAAACATGTGTTTTTATTATAATACATAAACAAGTGTTTCTTTTCGTTAAATTTTAAGTAGTTCTTCTGCAAATTTTAAATTCAAGTTTCTCTCGTAAAACAAAAGCTTAATCTTATAAGCTTTTTAAATTTTGCTTTTTGAAATTCTTTTGAAACTTAGTAAATAACATCATGAGTTAAATATTTTATATTGTAAAATTGCCAATTGTAACCATATTTTTGTAAAATTGTCAATTGTAACCATAAGTAGTGACAAATTAACAGAAATGTTAGGAAATGTTAGGAAAGACCTAGTTTCGGAAAAATTATGCTATTATTAAAAATTTAAGTAATTAAAAAAAAAAAAGACAAAAGAAAAGTTAAAACGAAATTCCTTTAAATATATTCAAATTTTTAATCTGTAAAAAATGCTTCTCTGTAAATTACTTTATAGAAAAGCAGATTGCTAGACTTCCTGCAAAATTTAGAAGGTTAAATGAATTTTGCAAAAGTCAAGGAATTTTGATTGATTTCATCGGCCCACCATTTAAACCACCCAAAAGAAACTTCAGGTAAATAATTTTCAAATGGGAAACAGACAGTTCTAACTGTCCTTTCTATGCGCTTCTAAAAGTACTTAGTGTTTAAGGAAATAACTTTTGTGGCTTTCATGCAATAGACATTAAGATGCAAAATGGGCCAAAGCCACCCAATCTTACGGTAAATAAGTAAAAAATATTTATGTAAATAAGTAAAAAATATTTACGTAAATAAGCAAAAAATATTTACGTAAATAAGTAAAAAATATTTACGTAAATAAGCAAAAAATATTTACGTAAATAAGTAAAAAATATTTACGTAAATAAGCAAAAAATATTTACGTAAATAAGTAAAAAATATTTATGTAAATAAGTAAAAAATATTTATGTAAATAAGTAAAAAATATTTATGTAAATAAGTAAAAAATATTTATGTAAATAAGTAAAAAATATTTATGTAAATAAGTAAAAAATATTTATGTAAATAAGTAAAAAATATTTATGTAAATAAGTAAAAAAAATTAATGTAAATAAGTAAAAAATTTGAAAAATACTCTTAAGCATAATCTTTAAACAATAGAAATAAAAAAAAAAAATTACTAATTTTAACAATAAAAAAGAGAAATGTGCAGAGGTATTTTTTTGCAAATTTTTATAAAAGAATTTTGTATATAAAAAAAAACTAAACAGTTTGAACTTTATTTACATCTATAAAAATTTACATTCTGATCATTATGAGAAATCATAAATATATACAGAAGGAACAATGGTTTTTTTTTTCAGAAACTGGTAATGGAAAAACATCGTAAATACCTTTAAAAAGGTATTTCCGATGGTAGCAGGAAAAAATCCGCACAATATTAAAATTTTTTTTTTTATATTAATTCACCTCCCCAAGATCGAAAAGGCCACTACAGACGAGGAGGCTAGTTAATTGTGATTACAACCCTCTCTTAACTCTATAACACGAACCTTGACAAACAAGGCCGCTACGCAGAGAAACAAGTTGAGAGCGGTACTACCAGGGACGTAGTGGGGATCGAACTCCGAAGTTCTTGCTTATGAGGCATAAATAGGTAAAAAGCATCATAGGAGTGTTTATAAATTGACTAACAAATAAGTAGAACATACAAGAATTGCGCATACAACCACTGATAAATAGGTAGAAAACATACAAGTAGAGTACATACATTGACTGACAAATAGATACATTTTTTTTGAAGGACTGTTTCGGGGGAGTTTTTCTTAGAATCATTTACGATGTAAAAGACGAACTTTTAGAAAGCAAACTAAAGGACTACTAATAAGATAATCAGCTGAAGTAGCTGAAGTAACGAAGTAGCTGAAGTAACAAAGTAACTGAAGTAATGAGAGAAAATTGTAATTGATAATACCAAACTTAAATCAAGAATTGATGAAAAAACAGCTGTTACAGCTGCCACTTTTGCAAATTCTGATTGTGGTCAAAATAGCAATACTTGGGGCTGTAACAGGTGCAGCTGCATTTAGAAAACAAAATCTTTTAACAAAAGTATCAAAATAATGAAAAAATAAAAATATATAAAAAACCCAATGTATTATATTTACAGTTTTTTTAACAAAAATTTAGTAATTTAAAAAATCATGTTTTTTCTCACGATTTTTAACGACTATATATATATATATATATATATATATATATATATATATATATATATATATATATATATATATATATATGAAATGGGTAGCGCTGTTGAGCAGACTGTGAAATGTTAAACTTATATTATTTTTTAATACATACCCTGCGTAATAAATATTATTTATAATAAATATATGTTTTTTTAATTAATAGACTACCTGCCTAACCCAAAGCCTCAGTCGATGTAGCAGCAATGTAGCAGCACACCGTTGCAAGTCAGGCTATTTGTCAGTCGATGTAACAGCACTCCGTTGCGAGCCAGGCTATAAGATAGCCGATGTAGCAGCACTCCGTTTAAGTCGCAAGTTCTTATTTAAGTCAATATTAATAATATCTGCGCAAGAGCGCTAGTATAAGGTCTGATGATCGCATAAAGCGTGATACTCCGAGTAATGTTACAAATTTAATTGTAATTTATTATTATTTTAGTATAATATATATTTGCTCTGCTTTTGTATTGAGCACTGTTTACCGAATAATTATTTTTATTACTGGTATATATAAGTATATATATATATATATATATATATATATATATATATATATATATATATATAATATATATATATATATATATATATATATATATATATATATATATATATATATATATATATATATATATATATATATATATATATATATATATATAATACTATATATATATATATATATATATATATATATATATATATATATATATATATATATATATATATATATATATATATATATATATATATATATATAATTATATAAATATAAGAAATACTTCATTCATTCTGAAACAAATTATTGGGCTTTTTTATCAAAATAAAAAATAATAACAATAATAAAAAGATGAATAAAAAAAAAAACATTATTACTAATTATTTTCACTTTTAAGAAATAGTTTATTAGAGTTCATGTCTCGAAGAACATCCTCCAGAGTTTTCGTAGAAATCTCTTCGTCACTCGATGAATCGCTGGACGACTCATCTGATTCTTCTTTCACGTTTAACATATTATCTAAATATTTAATTTGTAAAAAAAATTGTAAATATAAATTTTCCTTTTTTTATTGTAAAAATGAAATTCAAATTTACTTATAAATATGAAAAAAAAAAGAATTAATAGTTGGAAATAATTTAATTTAGCATTTTATTAAACCTCAAATATATATATATATATATATATATATATATATATATATATATATATACATTTTATATTATCGAGATTTAATAAAATGCTAAATTATGTAAAATATATATTTGAACAAATAAAGCAATGTAATGAAACTTAAGGTTTGATGCCTATCGGCAATCATCAGCAATTCATGTAGTTTTTAAAAATCAAGAAAAAATTCCAAAAATCAATAGCAATGATTTCTGATGTCGAAACAAAACAGGGAAGGAGGGGGGGATGCCCCTTTACCCCAAAGCTGTTGTATGTGCATTTGAGTCGCACATTTTGAAGTTTAAATGACAATTATATTTAATACCTAGGACCTTTTTTTTTGGTTATCAGTCGGCAAAAAACATATGCCACCCTTTCATGAGAGACTTCTTCGGGACAACCCTGATCAACCATGTCAAATTGGGTAAGAAGCCAATTTTGTTTCTATGCTAAATAAGTGCAACATAGAAATCTGACAAAGACAATTACTGTTAAAATTGTTCTATTAAAAGGAGTACTGAAATTTTGAATTTCTATTAGTCCTAACTCCTTTTTTTTGTATTAATGCACAAAAAAAAATTTTCTCTTCAGTCCTGTTTACTGAGTTGTCAAATAAAATTTCCAATTTTAAATAAAATAAAAAAAAAGTTGTACTCAAAACATTTTCACGCAGCATATACAGTAGGGCGGATCATTTTTCAACTTTTTGCAATAAATGCTTAGGTCATATGAATTTTAAATGTGTTGGCTCTTATATAAAACTAATGCAGAAAAAATAAAAAGTTTTAATTTTTAGGTTTTCAAATTTGAACCTCAAAAACCGAGGTTTTCGGTCAAAAATGCGGTAAACGCGGTTTGCCGAAACTTTTGACTGGTTATTCCGATTAACTCAAAAGCATCTTCAATCGAATCCTCAATCCCAAATATCCTTTATTAGACACCTAATCATTCATTTTAGCTTAAAAACTTATGATTTTTAAAGTTTACAAAGATTGTCATTTTTACTATACTTTGCTGTAATATCTTGCATAGTAATATATATAATGACTGTAATGCAGAAAATATTTTTAAAAAGATGTCTCAACCGCCACCCCAATTAGAAGCATAAAAAATCATTTATATGTAATTTTATAAATTTACTTATTTATAATAATTATATTACAAAGTTAAAACTTATTACTTAAAAAAGATTCTAAAACAGGAAGAAGTTCTCTGTGAGCTATTGTTGCCTTTATAAACCCATCCTGCCTTTCTTGTTCGTAAACTATGCTAGAAGCTCTTGTAACTTCCTTCACAATTCATTATATGGATTGTCCGTGTACAGGCAATTCTGGAACTTCCATCGGGATTTCTACGAACCTAATAAGTTCTTCTATACTAATCTTGCATGCGAGCAAAGGTTCGTGAATATCAGTACTTCAATCAATCGATTCAATAATAGTTTCAGCATCGGTATTAATTTTTGGAGTTTTTCTTGATCTAACAGCAGTATTTCCTAGAGAACTTGAATTTCTTATTGAAAGTATTGTCTTCATTGCAAACATCCTCTCTTCTTTATCTTTGCTACAAAGTAGTACTTGAAGTATGGATTCACTGTGAGCATTCCAGGTAGAGGAACAAACATAGGGTAAAACTGTTTTCTGAATATCTAAGTTCATTTTTCGGACAAGTTCCAGCTGTTTGATAATATGGTATGGTCCGTTAGTCCAATTTGTTTTACCTAAACATTTTTTATCAATAAAATTACCCATACACACAAGAAAAAATTATCAAAGTAAACAAAAAAAATTCTTACCTTAATTTCAAACCATAATACAGAGTATACACAACACAGAACTGTACAAAATGTTTTAATTTCTCAGCATCGCTTCCATTTAGTCCATGGTGTGAACACCAAATTCTGCAAAGCCTACTTGCAAAGTTTAACCAGTGTGCTTGATTGTGGGGACCAAGTTGAATTTCTTTTGAATCGTCTGGCATTATTTTATCTTTAATAGCTTTTGTTATCCGGTATAGATATCTTTGATCACTAGATGAATTTTTTAAAGTACCTTCATCGATATCTAATAAATCAATTTCAACATCTATAGATTGAATTACATTAGTGGCAATTTTGAGATCACTAGCAATAGGGACAAGTTTACCAATATTGCCAGAAAACGTATTGTTTGATATTGTTTTTCCATCAATAACTGACATTAAGAACTTCAAAGGTAATTCATTTGTGTGCAAGGCACAATCTATCCAAATAAGTTTGGTTTGAAGTTTGTTTTCTAAAAAATAAATTATACGTCCTTTCCAGTCTAAAAAATAATTATTTAAATATAGGGGTGGCGTTTAACATCAAATATTTACCTGCACTTATTATCAAACATCTACCTGTATTTAGATTAGTTGAATCACAGCCAACAGCATCTAAAGAGGATTCTATACCATGTTCCATAATCCATTTATATATATGTTCTGCTATATGTTCTGCTGGGGTAACAAACTCAGATCTCTTTTCTTTGTAATTTGTAAAATGGTACAAATATAAACCACCTGGCTTTGCACAAACTGAATAATGGTCTTCTTTGTACAAGTCTGTGGTGAAATTTTCCATCTTCTCCAATCAAAGAAAATTGTGTCTCATCCTTTCTCCTATCAAGCATTATACATTGAACTCCATTTCTTTTTACCATATCACCATTTTCAGATTTTAATTGCTTCATCACCTTCAATTTAGAGCATTCAATTTTTTTGTGATCTGTCACTGTTTCATTATCAGTCACATTCCTTTTAAAAAAACCTGCCTTTTAGCTGCTTTCAGTGTTATTGTTGAAGTTGCAGCAGTTGCTCTATTTGAGACACCATATCTTAATGATGCTAATGCAACTTTTTTCATATTCAATGACTTTATAGAGGTTGCTTATGTACTCAGAATTTTTTTTGGAACCTTCGCTTTCGACATGGTCAGTACTCTCAAAATTTCCAATTGGCACTAAAGGTTTTTTTTTGCTTAAGAATAAAAAGAAAGGCATTCTATTTGTGACTTCTTTTTTTCCAGTTTCTTTCCTTTCATAATTTTTTTCTTGTCTGTTAGCTTCTTTAAAATCTTGAGCACCCATTTGCATACATATTTTTGTCCCAAATTTTTCTCTTTGCGATTTCATAAACCAAAGTTCTATTCTCGGAATTTTGTTTTCTCTTTTGCATTGACAAGAGATATGAGCTTTAAAAACACATGAACTACAACTTGCCTCCTCACAAGAAACAATGTCATACTTGCACTTCGCTATATCAAATAGCTTGTCAGGCTTAGAGTTAAACTTAGTAAATGTGTCAGGGTTGGACCTAAAGTTAACAATTCTGTAGCTTTTTTCTATAATCTATTTTATTTATACAAACTTGTCTGTAACAATTGGAATTTCAGGATTCACTTTCAACCATTGTGCTTTCACTTTCGAAAAAACCATTTTGCATGTATCTTTAAGTTTTGCATTTGCTTTACAGTTATTATCTCTTCTTAGAAGCAGACCATATTTAATAACATCTCTTAATGTTGGTAACTCAGAATCTAAAAATTCACTTGCAAAACCAATCACAACACTTAATTTGCAACTTTAACTATTTTTACGCGTTCGTGTAGCCATCAAGAAAGAACTCAAAATTTATACTAGTTTATAAACAATATTTATCCTGAACTTGCTTCCAACACTAATTAGTGCTGCAAGCAACCATTAATTAGTGTTGGAAGTATCTGGAAGAGAAAAGATAAAGATTGTAGAGCAAGATAATGATTGACAGACGACTTAAAAAATTGCAAATTATATGAATCAGGAAAGCAAGATGAAGGAAGCAAATTCCAAAGAACTGATGTTTGAGGAAAAGAACTAGACGAATAAGAGTTTTTGGAGCACTTAAGAACAGTCACAAAAAAAGGATGAGACTTAATTGAATGACGAGTAACACGAAAATGAATTTTAGTAGATAGCACAAGAGACGCTAGCTCTTTAGAACAGTTCCCATTATAGTATTTGTGGAAAAGAGAAAGAGAAGCAACATTATGACAATGTGATAAAGGTTAAAGGTTGGCTTTACAATGCGTTTTTGCACCTTGTCTAAAAGAGAAAGGGCATCATTAGAAGATCCGCCCCAGATATGGCAACAGTATTCCATACAAGGCCAGATTTGAGATTTATAGAGATAGAGAATAGAATCCAGAGTAAGAAAGTGTCGAGCTTGATAAAGAGATGCAACTTTAGCAGATGCTAATTTTGCAATGAATTTGATATATGGTTTCCAAGAAAGATCGAAAGAGTTAATCATAGAAGATGAAAGGTAGATGACTCATTGAGTACATTACTGCTCATAAATAAAGGAAGGTCTAAATTATTGGGATAACGATTGGCTAAAAAAAATTAAGTTTTATCTGAATTAAAGTTCACCAACAATTGTGAGCCCTATGCTGTAGCAGAAGTGAAATCCTTTTAAAGCTCAAAATGTCCCCTCCAAGCAATCAGAGAGAGTTGGCTTCTTATCATGACAAGAATAAATGGTAGTATCATCAGCAAACAATGCCACCTTAGATGTGAGAATATCTGGAAGATCATTAATGTAAATTAAAAAGAGTATAGGACCAAGGATTGAACCTTGACGAACCCCTGAGGTTACAGAATAAGAAGAAGAGTGCTGTCCATCAAGGACAACTTTATACTACAATTGAAAAGGAAGGATTCAATAATCTTAAAGATGTTTCCAGATACACCGTAAAAAGATAGCTAATGCAGAAGACCAGCAAGCCAAACTTTATCAAACGCTTTAAAAATGTCAAGAGCGATGGCTTTAACCTCTCTACCTTTATCTAATGCACGATAAAACCTATTGGTTATTACTGTTAGCAAATCAGCCATAGAATGAGATGATTGAAATCCATATTGTGATCAGAAAGTAAGTTATTAGATTCAAGATAAGAGATTAAGTGTTAGTTAATTAAAGACTCAAAAAACCTTGCTTATGATAGGAAGAAGACTAATGGATGATAGTTAGACAAATCAAATCGCTCTCTAGAATTTCAAAAGACAGAGATAACAGATGCTGCTTTCCAGCAGGCTGGAAAACAAGACTCTAACAAGCACTTGTTGAATAATTTTAAAAGGATAGACGACAGCTACGGAGAACACTTCTGCAATACTATAACAGGTATGTTGTCCAGGCCACAAGCTGTAGAAGAGTCTAAGCAGGAAATCACTTTAGATACAGAAGCTGGAGTAATACGAATGTCAAGCAATGGATCAACCTGTTTGACAGCTATATCAGGTAGAAGGCATTTAGTAGAATCAAGAGATGATATTGATGAATAGTTCTTATCAAATAATTCTTTGTCTTTAGGTGAGGTGACAAAGTCTGAACCATAAAAAAGAGGTGGAATTATAGACTTGCCCTTATTATTGATACTATTAAAGATTCTCCAGAAGTCACGAGAGCCTAACTTTTGTGATGAAATACGAGATTTCATGACCTGAGAATAGCGGGCTTTGGCATTAGACAAAACCTTTTTACAATGTTCCTTGCAGTAATAAACAGACGTCTGTTTTCTGGAGAATTGTTTTGCTGATAGATATGGAAGTAGCGGTTTCGATTGGCAATTGTAGCAGTAAAATGTGGGGAAAACCGTGGAGAAGAGTGAGGATTGACCTGGAATCGTTGAGAGGGAATAAAGGATTCCATGCCAGCCTGAATCCACGAAGTTATGTAAAAAGCACATTTTTCAACAGGAAGACAAAAGATTTCTACCCAATGACCATCACAAAGAAAATCACGAAAAGAGTCCCAGTCAGCTTTAAGGTAGTTGTAAGATGTACGATGATAGGGAGATTCTGATGATGAAGAAGAATAAGATAATAGTTTTAGAGAGATCAAACTGTGATCAGAGGCACCTAAGGGTGAATGTGAAGAAACTGAGCACTGACTAGGATTAGAAACAAGACATAAGTTGAGTAGAGAAGATAAATGATTCAGGTTGTCTAGAAAACGAGTTAGAAAGTTGACTACTTGAGTTAGGGATTGAGAAAGGCAAAAGTTGTGGGCTTTAATGCCAGCAGAGTCACTGGCACTAGAGCCAAGCCATTCAGTGTAATAAACATTACTGACAAGTTAAGTTACCGACAACAACAATATTGGCTGATGGATAAAGAGAGAGGGCTTGGTCAATATGATCTTGATATGAAGGAGAGCAATATAGAACAAAGAAAAAGGTGATAGAGTGAAGTGGTGCTAAACAAAAGCATATAAAGAGTAGTCTGTGAATACAAACCTAGTTTCCCGACAAATGGGTGAATTCTCACAAATGTAAATGCTTAGGCCAAGCATGTGACTATTGGAGTCTTTACGAATTAAAGGAAGATAACCATCAACATTAAGATCACAAGATGAGACAGCTAAACTCAAATTAGTCTCACAAAAAGCAAGTAGGTCTGTTGAACTTTGCAAGAGATAAGACTCAACAGAAGAAAAGTTACTTTGAAGACCACGAATATTAGTGAATGATAGGTTTAGAGAACTTGGTGATGACAGTGGTTTTTTGTGTTTTATATTTTTTGTTACTTTATTCAGTTTTAAATTTGTTAAAGAACTTGACTCAAAGCATATATTGTACTCAGTACACTGTTTAATAGCCTAAGCAATTGCCTCATTACTACTAATAAACCCTGTCATAACAAAGGGCTCTAATGTGGCCTCGGTAATGCACACCAAAAGTACAAAAAGGGACACCATCCATGCGCAACATGACACTGTTAGTACTCTGATATTTTTCAGCTGTTGATGGAATCAGCCTCTCTGAGAGCTACCACAGAGTTCGGGAAACCTGACTACCAGCTGGGCTCAGAACTATAAAACTGAGTTTTAGAACTGTACCCTCATTAGAAGATAATAGAATGAGTTGCCTAGTCATAAAAACAGAGACACAAGCAAAACTCATGCATCGAGTCAAGAAGATCCAGCATTCAACATCCTAAACTGGAAGCAATGTATTAAAGATACATCTGCTCTAGCCTAATAGACGAAGAAGGAGTGTGAGGCTGGTCAACAGATAGAACCTGTTTACCCCTTTTTTGTCTTTGCCTAGGAGGCCTTCTACAAGACAGCAGCCGGATTCATTTAACATTTGCCCAAGATGAGTATTTTTATCGAGACACCATCTCTAGCTTTTACTCAACCAAGAGCCCCAAGGCAGGGGTGTTTTATGTCAGAGTTGGCATTTCCTAGCGTTTGCCTAAAAAGGCATCTTCTACAAGGCAGCAGGACATGAAGCAGATTATACTGGGTTACATGGAAGCATTTTAAAAACTCTGCAAGCTAACCACTTCATCCACTATAAGGGTTTTGTTTGAGCAATATTTTTAACACTTTTTTTATAAATAAAAAACTTTATAAAATGACAAATATATTCTTCAAATTAAACTTAAGGAGATGTTGCTGCAATTTTTAAGAAAAAGCAAAACTGTAAGACTTGATGTTTTAACATTACATAATTTGAATTTTACATAAGTTAAATATTTGCATACACTTTGTTTAGATATTTTCTAATAAAAAAAAAGTGCTGCAACTCTTTCTTGCTGTTAAATCGGGTTTAATAGCTGCCGCGAGTTCTGTGCAAACATGCACCAATGAGTATTAATACTATTATTAAGGTACTCAATATTTAACATGACAATTTAAAAACAACAAATTTTTAAAATTAAGTTTTAAATATAAACTTATATAAATATGAACCTTTATATATAAGTATAAACCTTTTATTTAAATAGTAAACAAATCAAATAAAATAGAAACAGTATAAAGGACATTTAAATTTTAAATAAAACAATTAAATTAAAAATGGCAAACATTTTGTTTAAATTCTAATTAAATAAAAAATTAAAACACAAATGCTTTAACTATTTTCTTAATAAAATTAAAAATAAACAGCAAGAAAAAGTATTTTATGCAAATCCTCAATAAAATAATTAAAATAAAAACCACGAAATGAACATTTTAATTAAATTTAAAATATGAATCTTTTATTTAAATATTGGTTTTGAGACAATAAAAAAACATAGAGCAATATTCCACAAAGCTGCCCCCTAAGCTAAAAAGAAATTTTGTTTATTGCTACTGTGCTAATCCCTATTAACTTTGTCATCCAAAAAATTTCTAATTTTCAACTGGATTGATATCTAGGCATCGATATTCAAACAGTGTAATCCAACAATTTTATTTCACTTTCTTTGAAAGATGCTTTAACAACCCTACTGGTATGTTTTAGATAATTATCTTGTTGAAAGACAAAATAATTTGGTAATCCGAATTGATTGTCAGAGGGGATAAAGATTTTTTTGTAAATTATTTTAAATATCAAACTCCTGTTAATATTTTTTCATGAAAGTTACCAACATAACTGAAACGGCCGCAAACAAATGTAAAAAAAAAAAAACAAAAACCAAAAAAAAACCCACCTTGTATTGGTTTTACACTTTAATTGCAAAAAGATTTTATTTTCATTTGACCTTTTAAAATTCTTTAGCTTAAATTTACTTTTCATTGAATTTACAGATCATTCCAAATTCAATTTCAAATTTAAGTGGCTTTGAAAAGTCAAGACATTAAACTTTTTTTTATTTTAAATAACTCTTCTTCTACTACTTGTTTTTTTATAGAAATCTTTGTTTAGTTTCTATAGTTACAGAAACAAGTTGGACCCCTCAGAGAATATTTCAAACTACCTAATCAATATTTAAATGAAAGTGAACAAACATGCTTGCAGCTTTTTAATTTTTTTAATGTTTAACTTTAAAATTAAATTTAAAATAATTTTTTTAGGAAAAAAAATCAATATTAAGGTGTCAAAAAATAAAAATAACAGATAAAAAATAAAGAGAAAAAACCAAAATTAGAGGACCTTAGAAAAGACTAAATATATAAAAGTATATAAAACCATGATGAAATATTCTATAAAAACAATTTTAAAAAGTCATTAATAAATAGAAACATATTAAAATATATAACTTGTCTTCCCCCTTTTTTTCTTTTTTATTCTTTAAATACTAAATGGTAAAATATGCCTTAGTTTTTGTACCTTGTGTAAACAACTGATTTCGAATGCGACCAGCATTAGATGACAATACAACCTTGTATTCAGGATACTCCAGAATAGACATGTTTTTTAAAGATTCTTTTACAGTACTATCTATATTTACTTCAGTGAACCTATGAAATGAAAATTTCAGTGAATACATGAAATAAAAACTTCAGTGAAGCTATAAAATAGTGTGTTTGGGTGTGCAGTGGGATAGGTGTAAGGTGCAGTGGATGTAAGGTTATTGAGTCAACTTAAGAAAGAAAAACATTAAAAAAACAAAACCTTTTATTGTCTTGACCTTGTTCAAGCTCATGTTTGAAGAATAACAAAATTTTTTGGTCTGACTGACAGTTAGTGTACTCAAAAAATCTAAATGTTTTAAATAATATTAAAGATTAAATAGTAAATATTAAACTTCAATTCATAATTAGATGAATTGAACACAAAAAGTTATTGGTGTGTAAAATGTAAATAAAATTAAACTTTTTTTCTATAAAACAAAACCGAAATTTTACAAAACTAAAACAGATTTAAACGATCTTATAAAACTGAAGCTCTTACTGAAGCTCTGAATCTTACTGAAGCTCTGAATCTTACTGAAGCTCTGAATCTTACTGAAATCTTACAAAACTCTAAAATCTCACAAAACTCTCAAAACTCTAAAATCTCACAAAACTCTAAAATCTCCTTAGTCCTTGTGATCTTTTTCAATTGTTTAATATTTACCTCACTAAGGCCAAGGGAGGGAGAGGTTCATTGAGAGGTTGAGAGGATTATTATTGAGATAACTATTTTTTTTAATTATCTCTTTTTGAACCTTTTAACTCCAAATCACAAACCTTAACAAAATTACTGAGCAGAAAAACCTCAAGTACTACACATCCAGGGGCATGGTGGGTTTGAACTCTGAATCTCTTTTTAGCTTTACCTTTAAACTTGTTACCTTTTACCTTTAAACTTGTTAACAATATTGATTTTTTTAATATATCGAATGCTATACAGAAAGGAACCTCTTTTTATTAATTGGATAGCTTATGGCACTCATGTAACTTGATTGGCTGCTTCAAGGAAAAAGGAGATGACCTAATATTTTATTTAAATAACTACTTTTTATAAGTTAATTAAAAATTATACATTTTTGCATTAAAAAAACTTTAAAAATAATAACACTTTATATAAAGCACATAAAAATTTAATAATTATACTTTACTTTAGTTTATTTTCAGGTAAGACTTTTTCTTTATCTATAAAAGGTGATAAAATATCTTTAAAAGTATCTTTCTCTGAATGTCTAAAAATAAAATAGATAAATAAATTTTTTGCAGGTAAAAAAAAAAAAAAAAATTTTTTTTTTACCTGCAACTGTGGATTTAGGTCAGCATTGATATACTGCTTAACTGACATCAACGCTGAC